AAAAACTACTAAATCTTGATTAGTATATATATATATATATATATATGTCTCTAGTTTTAGTTTGGTTCTCTTTGGTCAAAAATCGGTATACATAGTCTAGTTAAAGATTTTATATTAATGAATCGAAAGTCTAAGCTTATCAAAACCTAAGCATTAGCACCATCATTGCTTTAAAGTAAGTAACACAATGGGACAAAAATTATTCGAACTATGAAAAGACAACACTAAATATTTTAAATAAACATGTCATGTACACACATTCGTCACATATGTATGTTTGTATTGAAAACAGATATAAATGGGCAATTCGCAAAGGCAAAGCTGAAAACAAGTAGTGAGCTTGTGGTCACACCATTAGACAAAAACACTCTGAAGTTGCAAAAAAGTAAAAACAGTGCTTAAAAGAAGATGATACAAAAAAAAAAAAAAAAAAAAAATTCAAAGCAACAATATAATTATAAAATAGAAAGTGACGATAAGAGAAATAAAATAAAAATAAAGATGAAAGGAACAATTAGATTGACACCAAAAGGACAAGAAATGGAATAAGAAGGGACCATCACTGCCATTGTTACAATCCCCTTTGTGGTCTCACTCTCCCATTACTCGTGAAAAATCAAATTTATTTGTTTTTTGTCATCCACTTTATTGTATTTATGTAATACTAAAACTTCTTACCAAGTAACATAGAGTTAGGAATGAACAAATTGTTCATCTTGTTTCCTCTTTTTGTCAGGTCCATCCTCTATCATAACATGATTTTGATTATCATTTAAAAAGGCAAACACAAAAAGAACTTATACATCAGATGAATAACAAAATAATTGAAAGTTGAATTATAAAACTATATAAATTATGAAATTATATAAAAAATGTTTCTCTTGTAAAGTAAGTATCTTCAGCGGCCTAATTAAACAGACAGATCGTGAATAATTTTCAAAAGTTTTAGACAGTTGTTACGAATATTTTTTGAGGTCAAATTGACATGCAGTTACGATTATTCTTTGACTCGAAACAATACAACAACAACAAAAAAAGAATAATATTATAGACTTTGGTTCTCGTCCAATATATTTTTGAGTGAATTTATGTTTGTTTCTTAGAAATTGCGAATGTAAACAAACTTTATCGATGTGAAAACTTTTATTAAGCAAACCTAACTCACCTTCATCCTGGCAAGACAACGAAAACTTTTGGTATTTATTCGGTTAGTAAAAATGTTTTGCCTATCAACGGTTAAACCGGTGAAGAACCGTGTGAGTTTGACTCGGTGATGCTCGAATTCGCTTTAACTGTCAGCAGGAGTTTCTCGAATCACAAACACGATCGACAACTCACAAGTCACAAACACACAAGGTATATCATTTCATATGACGACGACTGATGGATGTGAAATCGAATGATATTTTGACAAGACGATAAGAAAGGAGGCTACGAGCCTATATGAGTCGATGTAAAAGCTTTTAGCTAAGAAAAACGTATTTTTTTTTTTTTCATTTATAAGTGGTGGCTTTATCTTCTACTTATTTGCAATTGCACACCAATCTTGTAATCAATACCGAAACTGATTAGTCTTTAGATTACGTAGTTATTATTTTATATTATTACGGACTAGTTAAGCAGAGAAAATCAGATTATCATTAAAAAAGTTATACAAATTGATACATTTTATTTGAAACCATATCATATAGTCATGTACGATATGAAACCTATTACGATAAATATTCATATCACAAAAATACTTTACTATATAGTAGTTATGTAATTTGGTATAAACTTCATGATCAAGAGTTTGTATATCATCATCATATCGTTTGCCGAAAAAAGGGTTTGTAAAATATGCATTTGTGAGTTGTGACTTTCGATAATATAAGTCGTTAATTAGTTACTATCTTATAAGACGCATAGAAAATCGAGAAGAAAAAATGAAGATTATGATAAATGTTTATGAGAGGTCGAGAAGCGAAAACGTGTAGAAATAAAATAAATGAAGAAATTAATATAGACTCTGAAGGTTAGACACTTGACACCATTGAAGATAGAAATAATAAAGCAGAGCAATAGGAGCCATTACATGTTGGCTTTGGTGGGTAAAGAGTATAAATGCCTAAACACTATAAAGAAGAAGATCCTCTCCACACGTGCGAAAAAGGAAGGTTCGGCACATAACGGATGGTTGTGCATACGTGTGAACGGAGGGTGGGATTCACGTGAGATATTCACCCGATCACCTGTGTTTTTTGTAAGAGAACCATTTTTATTTCAAGAAGGAAAATTAAAAACGAATTAAAAAGAGAAAGATTTGGTAGGAGGAAAGAAGGTTGAGCTGTCGATTGTCATTCCAGGTTTGTATGTAGTTGGAACTTAAATTTTTATTTAAAAAAAAGAATTAAAACCATAAAAATATTTTATGAAGTTTTTACGTCTCCTTCTTTCTTCATTTTCCCTTTTATTTTCTCCCATTGCAAGAAAATAATGAAATAAAAAGAGATTCTTTATTTTATTTACCATCGTTACATAAATATTTTTACTGTAAATATATATGGAATCAACATATCAAGAAATCACCTTAAAATACAGCACACCTTGAAATTTACCGAGGAAAAGCCATTCGGATTAGTGAAATAAAATGTTAACTAACAATTAAACAAGTAGTTGCGTGCTAATATGATAATCTGACATGATAGATTCCAACATTGTGTCATTTCATAATAATAAAAAGAAAAATCTCAATGTATGGTTTTTATAAGTGGACTTAATTACACTTTCGCTTTCGACATTTCCATTAATTATTTATCCCATTATAGACTTATAACCTACATTGCGATATCAAATATTTCTCTAACCGTATGTCCGATATGCACGACATTTCTTCGTAAGACATACGTGATACGAAATATCAATCTTCAATTTAAGAAAGAGATCCCGATATCCATATCAACTAATGTACATTAATGGTAAAGGATTTGGGGAAAGCTTCTTTGCTAAGCGTTTAAACAATCACTTTATTTGATTTTCAAACACTAACACATTTTAATATGTGGAACTCTCATCCAAAATTTCAGAGTATAGTTTCGCTTATTTAAATCTATCATATTTCAATCTAAACGCTCATTTAAGTTTCACTAAAGTCTACTAAATTCGCATTTTTTTTGTAAACACACATTCGAGAAAAAACCCTCTACAGTTTAATGCATTTTCAACATAGTTATCATTTCATAAAACAAAATGAAAAATTTGCAACGAAAATGTGAAAAACTTATTTGATTGCTTATTAAATGTTATCCACCTCAGACGCGAACCATGTTCATAATATGGAGTCAAACCTATAGAGCCTATAGTATACGAGCCATACTAAAAAAAAAAAAAAAAGCACAACCCGATCTCAAAATTGTTGAACCAAAAATCAGTCATATGTCGATTTCATCGGTTTTCTAATCCCCACACACAAACCTAATTCACTTGACTTCTGATCCTTCCTCCTACCTTTCACACAATCACACGTGCCAAACAACACGTCCGATGCGAGCGAACTTCCATTTTTCATTTTTTTTTTAATTGTTTATCTAATAAGTCAAAAAAATGTAGATGGAGTTTTATTATGGAATATTACATTACCTCCTCCAAGCATTCCTATTTACATCGTACTCGAACCTCAAGTAGCAAAATATTTATACTTTCAAGATCGATGGTCCGAAAGAATTAGGTTGGATATTTAGAATTAGTAACTTTTGCATTTTCTTGCTTGCATTGGTTACTATTAATTCGGTCATATGAATTTTGCAAATTCTATGTCTTACGTAATCGACCCCATGTACGTACGTGGACTATTATATTATATATGGTCATTTAAAAGTGCTAATTAAAACGTGAAGTTGTCATTTAAATTAAAAAGACGATTGCAAGTGACTAATTTGTGGTTAGAACTTCGAATCAGTTGATATGACACACTCATCTGTTTTGATACATTAATGAATCATAATATCGATATTAGGAGAGTTAATTTGATTTTAATAGCTAGGAGTAGAGGACAAACATTTTATGGTATTAATAGCTAGAAGTCGTAATTATGACTTACAAAAATTTATAGTATTCATAGCAAGGTCCCTGACATTCATATTATAAGCTAGCTTATTCTAATACATTTAAAATAAATTATGTTGATTTTTAGTTTTTATTGGGGAAGATTGATACTGAGGTCTAACCTCTGTAATGCAATCTACAGACCAACGAGGACCAGTTATAAAGGACCTCATTGACCCTATCTGCGACTTAGCCCATCGTAATCAGAAAAATGATAGGTGAGGGTATTATGGGAAATATACATATGGCAGTATCTTCGTGATTCGTATAATTGAAATATGACCTCTACTCACTTTACTTCTTCTTTTTAATTCCTTTAGCTGCTTTTTAAATTAGTTTCAAAAATTAATTATATCTTAAAATAGTTGATGGCAGCCGACATTTCCGTGAAAAAAAGAAGATAATATCGTATAAATCCTATTAACTTTATTTTTTATATCGTTGACAAAGGAAAAATATTTCATCAGAAAAGAATTGCTCTGGAATCTTTATTTCCTGCGGGAATACCTATTTATTTTTGTAATAGATACCTTTGTGGATTATAATATAAAAATCTTTTCGTAAAACATTTTAAGTAGTTAGCTAATGAAGAAGATTGGTGGGCTAAAAAGGGAGTCGAAGAAGATAGAAGAGTGACTTCTCTCTCCATCATATTTTTCTTTCTTCCTTTCGCTTTGGGAGAGACTTATCAGTTTTATAATATATATATATAAAAAAAGAATTCCTGAATAAAAACTCTTAGTAACAAAGAAAACAAGAAAAGGAGAGTCCAGAAAGAGAAAGCCAGAGAGAGAGAGAGAGAAAACGATACCTAAGTTCGATTATCTTTTCTCTGCAGCAAACTCATAAGGTATTCTCTTCTTCTCTGCTCTGTCTTTTGCATCTGATACAATAAATATATATATATAAATATATTTATGTGTTTGTTCATCAGTTATAGATGATGTAAATAGATTAAAAAGAGCATAAGACCTAGTTGACTCTCTCTCTTTCTGAGTTATGTTTCCATTTCTTTTGTTTGAATCATTACAGGATCCGAAAAAAAATATTTATATATATCATGAAGAAGAAGATTGAAAGATTGATATGGGAATAGCTAAAACTTCTCTTACTTCTACAACTCTCTTGAAGACTCTTTGCGATAAATCTATGTCCCAAGATTACCATCATCATCAACACCAAGGAGGAATCTTCAGCTTCTCTAATGGATACGACCGATCAGATTCTCCCAGTTTTACAACTCAGCAGAAGCAAGAACATCAAAGGGTAGAGATGGACGAGGAATCTTCAGTCGCCGGAAGTGGGATTCCGGTATATGAAACTGCCGGAATGTTATCCGAGATGTTTAATTTTCCCGGAAGCAGCGGTGGAGGAGGAGGAGGAGGACTTGACCACGGCCAATCTTTCCGGTCAAATAGACAGTTGATTGAGCAGCAACATCATAATATTCCGGCGATTAATGCTACGGATTCCGCCGCCGCCATGCAGTTATATTTGATGAATCCTCCGCCACCGCAACAACCACCGTCTCCGGCATCGACAACCACCACAAGGAGCCACCAAAATTCTTCAACTCTTCACATGTTACTACCAAATCCATCTCATCATCAAGGCTACGCTAATACTATGTCTATGCATCCACTCCCACAGCAGCATCACCAACAGCTGACGTGGCAGTCTCCTTCATCCTCCGATCATCATCATCATAACAGCCAAACCGAGATCCGGACCGTCCACGTGGAAAACAGCGGACAAGGCTTGTCTTTATCTCTCTCGTCGTCTTTACAGGCTGCAGCAAAAGCCGAAGAGTATAGAAACATTTACTACGGAAGTAATTCTTCTAACGCATCGTCTCACCATCAATACAATCAATTCAAGACTCTTCTTGCTGATTCCTCTCAACATCATCAAGTATCAAACCAATACCGATTGTCTCCTGCGGCTGCGGCGGCTTCTACCTCTTCCATCGGAGCGATCAATATCTTAAGAAACTCGAAGTACACGACGGCCGCTCAAGAGTTGCTGGAGGAGTTTTGTAGCGTTGGAAGAGGATTTTCTAAGAAAAACAAACCTAGGAACAGCTCAAACCCTAATACTAGCGGTGGCAGTGGCGGTGACGGCGGCTCACCATCCTCGGCCGCAGCAATCAAGGATCGTCCTCCTTTATCGGCATCTGATCGGATTGAGCATCAAAGACGGAAAGTGAAGCTACTCACCATGCTTGAAGAGGTATAGTCTCAATCTTGATGTTTGACTTGGTCCTTAATTAATGATATTCATTCACATTTTACGTAAAAAATTTACACGAAAAATCATAAAATTTATATTGTTTTGGTCAAATACTCCATTGATCCAAAAGTTATTACAAAGAATCAAGAAACATGATATGGCATGAATTGATATTTTTTTTCTGCTGCCTCGGTCGTTTTGCTAGAGTTTGATTACGCAATCCTATCATCATTTATTTAAAATTTAATAAAATGTGACGGTCGTATTAGAAGGTATATTAAGGAATACTTTGTTGCTTAATTAGCGTTTGGTGGAATCGATTAATCAAAGAAAATGCATTATATAATTATGATTAGTTTACATTGGCGTTTCCTTCTCCATATAAGCTACTCTCCTACGTCCTAAAGCTAGCCCTTAACGTTACTTAATTGTTTACCCGTAGTTGAATTATTTTATTTTTTAGTTGACTTATTTTTCTCACTAAAGAAAGTATTTCATTTTATGCTCGAGTATACGATAAAACGTAGGAAAACGAAACTTTGGAGTATATTCTCTGGTCCCTAATTTGTCTATAATATCTTGCTTTCCTATTGTCTCTTTGAACGTAACTAATTAATCTTGTTTGTTTATAGTAGTTTATTCGATGAAACTCAAAAAGAAATTAAGTATATGTCCCCGTGAAAAAACCTCTACACAAATATTATTCACGTGAATACAAAACTCACACGAGTTAACAATAACATTAATCAAAAGACAAAAGCAAAAATTTAATATACATGGACTGTATAATGTATAGTTTTGTTTTGTTGGCAGGTGGACCGACGGTACAACCATTACTGCGAGCAAATGCAGATGGTTGTGAACTCTTTCGACATAGTAATGGGCCATGGCGCAGCATTGCCGTACACCGCTTTGGCTCAAAAGGCTATGTCGAGGCATTTTCGATGTCTTAAAGATGCCGTCGCGGCTCAGCTTAGACAGAGCTGCGAACTTCTTGGGGACAAAGATGCAGCCGGAATATCTTCTTCCGGATTAACTAAAGGTGAAACGCCACGGTTGCGTTTGCTAGAACAGAGTTTACGTCAACAACGCGCGTTTCATCAAATGGGGATGATGGAACAAGAAGCTTGGCGGCCACAACGCGGTTTGCCTGAACGCTCCGTTAATATCCTTAGAGCTTGGCTCTTCGAGCATTTCCTCCACCCGTAAGTCAAATTATTTATTCTATACTTTTCTCATTATTCATTTTTATAAATCAATTACTGTTGGAAAGAAAATATTTTTTTAAAAAAAGCTGAGCAAAAGCATTTATTTTCTTGTTATTTCACCGATCACTACTTTCTTGAGTTTTATGTCTGTGGAATTTTGCTATTTTATTGTTAGTGAGAGTTATCGAAAAAATGGAAATAAAGCAAAAGAGTAGTGTTTTTGTACTTTTTTTACCTCTCTGTCAATTGCTTTATGAGTAAAAACAAAACGAAAAAAAAACGAAGTTAAAGAAGAAAAAATATACTGGATCTATGCTATGTAATCATCAGCTTTTCTTTTGTCTCTTAGATTCTCACGCCCTTGTTAGGGAAAAGAAGGAGAAAGTTTGTACTTTTTCTAGCATATACTTGATTGTATTGTATATAGAGAAAATATAAAGCGAAGAAATTAGATTGAGTTTAGGGCAAAGATAGAGTGATGTCATTTTCTGGTCTCTTTCTCAGGTATCCAAGCGATGCAGATAAGCACCTCTTGGCTCGACAGACTGGTTTATCCAGAAATCAGGTCAGTCTACATATATATATATATATATAGACTACAGTTATGTATATATATTTACACAGACAAAAACACAATAAAAATGGGACCTTCATTGACCAAATTGTGTTAGTTATCTTACTCTTAGTCAATGTTATGGATCGATTTTTACTAGATATATAACTAATGGTAATGATTAGTTTCGTTGCGTTTAAATTTTAATTATGCGTTGTTTGATAAAATAAAACTAGTGGTTTTTCTAAGTATAAACCTAACATTTTGAACTTGCAAATCGAAACACAATCAATCATTCCTGTTTTGGATAATCAAACATCTTTCTATATTGTAATTGTGAAGTACGTACATTAACTATTTATGCCCCCTAATAACGCATACATGAAGAATATGACCATTTTAATAACCATATGCTTAATACAAACTTCAAGTAGTAGTGTTTAGAAGTTACCATCCAAATAGAACTAACAAACCTAGCTTTTATGATGATGAGAAAATAAATTATGTAGACACCTCAGTTACTAACTAACTAACTTGAGATGAATCTTTTGCATGGTTTTGTTTCTTTCCTTCGTTTGGTTTGATATGACAGAGGAACACCATGTGTTTTGCCTTCCACTCACTATTAACTTTTCTTGGGATTCGTTTTATTATTATTATATATACATAGACAGACCCACACAAACATAGGAGAGAGAGAGAGTATGTTCTGTATGTGAGATGAGAGAGAAAGCGATCGACATTAAAGACTCAAAAGGGACCATTTTTCCTCAAGTACATCAAAGTTTGCAGCTTTCAATTATCCCGAAGAAAACCCTCAATTTCTTGCATACATTAATTAACCAAATGACAAATAAAAAAAAGCCCACAATTTCTTTCGATATATTATTATTATTGTTAACTTGGTGAAAAAATGTTGTCTCTTTTTATTCAGGTGTCAAACTGGTTCATAAATGCTAGGGTTCGATTATGGAAACCAATGGTGGAAGAAATGTATCAACAAGAATCAAAAGAAAGAGAAAGAGAAGAAGAAGAATTAGAAGAAAACGAAGAAGATCAAGAAACAAAAAACAGCAACAACGACAAGAGCACAAAATCCAACATCAATGAAAGCAACTTCACTGCTGTTCGGACCACTTCCCAAACTCCAATGACAACTGCACAATCAGCAGCAACCGCACCAGACGCAGCAGACGCAGACGCAGCAGTAGCGACAGGCCACCGTCTAAGATCATCCGACATCAATGCTTACGAAAACGACCCTTCATCACTTCTACTACCTTCCTCCTCCTATTCCAACGCCGCCGCAGTCTCTAGCTACGGTGGCTCAGCCGCGTTTTCCGCGGTTGCCACGTGTCAACAAGGTGTTGGTGGATTCGAAGATGCTGACATGGATGGTGTTAATGTTATAAGGTTTGGGACAAACCCTACTGGTGACGTGTCACTCACGCTTGGTCTACGCCATGCTGGCAATATGCCTGATAAGGAACCTTCTTTTTGCGTTAGAGACTTTGGGGGTTTTTAGTTGGCTTTTGTTCGTCCATTTAATTAATTAATTAAATATATTTTTCATTATAGATTTTTATTTTTTGAATGGAAAAAACTATTTACTCTCTTGAAAAAGAATACAATAGTTTAGTTCTCTTTTGTTTTAATTTTCTATATAGAGAAGATACGTAATAATTAATTTGGTTATTTAATTTCTAAAGATTTCTTTGAACTTAAAGACTGTTTTCGTGTGTTTGCTAAATATATTTTTGGTTACACAACAACAATGGGAAAATATTCTTGTTACTCTCTAAGGCAATAATAGGTTGGATTAATGTTCAGCTCAACTGTGTACAACACATCTAACTATCTAAATATATGTATGATATACTTCCCTTAAGATATTATGAACATTTTCCTTAACATATTTCCCAAATTCGAAAAATTAGGAAAAAAACCCAAAACAATCTAAAATTTTAGAATAGGCCATATTTTATAAACTAAAGAAATACACCAAATTTGACATCATTACCCTTTTGAGTTACAAAACCATTTAAGTAAAAATGAAAAAAATTCATATTTATCCAGTTATATAATTAACATTAAAAACATTTGTCAACTAGATATTGACTCTTCTCAGTTTTTGTTTATACGTGTTTCTTAGAATTTTTTTTTTAAATTTCATTTAGTTTAGTTTGATAAGATATGGCATATTTTCATATCATTAACATTAAAAACATATGTTAACTGGATAAGATAAGGCATATTTTCATAATTTAGCTTTTTTGGGGGTTTTTCATGTGACTGGCCCAGTTTATTCTTACCCGAGGAAATTACGAGATTTGAAAACCTGACCGACGACAAGCGGGCCAACCCAAAAAGCCCAAAAACATAAGTACTTCGTTTTTGTTTTCCATTTTCGTTAATCCAAACTGAGTATAACCAGAAACCGGATTAGCCATACCTGATAATAAGCAAGAGTTTCCTTTCTTGCTTTGGCTCAAGAACAAGAGTACAAAAAAGTTAAACTTCCAAATTTTCCTTTTCATAGTGTTTAATGTCAAAACTTATGCAGCCCGGTTACAATACGGAGGTCGTGCAATGAGCATAGAAAGATTACAAAACTCTTAATTTTTTTTCCCTGCCATGTGCAAACAGGGAAGATGATATCCGAAACAGCACAGACATTGCAGATTTAGATAGCCTCTTCAGTGTCCAAGATCAAACAGTCTTTTATTTTCTCCCTGAAAAAATCATTTGAGGAAACCAACGTTAATTAGTGTTTAACCGGATGGCTATATATCAAAACTTTGGCTGATCCCGTCGGTTTGAATCTGTTGCGTGTTAAGTGCAGTGCTATTGATTAGCAAACCAACTATTCAGGTACTCACCTCAGATAAGCTTGACTGTTAACCTTATGATGATGATTCACTTGGGAAGTCATGTGATGCGGTAGAGACGAACCGAACTGCTCAAGAGATGATCGATCTTGTGGAAGTATTTGAAAACGGCAACTTGAACAGCAAGCAGCATAAAGTGCATCAGATTCACCGCGTTCTTCAAATGTATTCAAATCTGATGAGTCTGATCCATTGATCGGGCCATTGCAGATGGCACAGAAAGCTTCTGTAGTCATAGAACCGTCGTATTTGAGATTGAATTTCTTTAGACGCCTCTGAGTGGCCAAAGGAACACAAGCGTCGTCTGTTTCCGGGATTTTGTTGAAGTAAAATGGAGTAAGCTTTGCAGCTGTCCGTACAATCGTGCACTCCCGAGAAGGATTTTCTTCCTGCGCAAACGTATATTTTAGTTTCATAAACCAATGAATCAGCAAAAGGAACCATGAAGTTGAACATATGTTCTCTCACCTGCAACAGAGCGACAAATGAAGAAACCAAGTCGTTGATCCCGGATTGAGGATGACGAGCCAACTCCAGAGTCTTAAGACTGTCCTGACCAGAAAATGTGTTAGATGTCATTCAACAGTTGAATCAGAAAACGCCAACAATATGGACAACGGCGGTTAAGATACGAACCCATCCAAATGGCAGAGTCTAGTGATTTCCTGCCAAATACAATCTCGAAGTGGAAGCACAATGGGAACCTTCCATCTCGCGTCAACATGCTGAATATCTGCTGATAGTGAATAACCTCGTCCCTGTCTCAGGCAAAAAACAATTGCAATTCAAATCACAATTTCGAGAGAAACTAGTCTAAATGGAATGTCCAAACAAACACTATACAACATGGTCCGAACTATCTACATTCTTTGATGTAACCATTCTATTCGCTTTCAAGCATGGAAATCTCACTCTACAATGCAATCTATAGAAAAAAAATTAACAGGGGTAGTGAGCAACACACCTTGACAGTGGCGGTAAGAACATGGGAAGCGAGTCTCGACGTGCACGATCCCACCACTAATCTGGTGTACCCATTCTCAGAAGCAACCTAACACGCAATTATCAATATCAAGCAACATCAAAATAAATGATACAATTTCTAACAGACACAAGAGCAATATAAAAAGCCAAACCTTTTGCAAAGACAACATCTTCAGATGCAGCACAAGGTCTTCTTTTCCAGTCTCATCACTAACAGAATCCAAAAGCTTCACAAGCCTATCTCTTGCTTCAATAGAGTCTGAGCCAAAGACGCTTTCGATCGGAACAACATGGAGATCCTTTGCAGGTGGAGACAAATCCGTCACAGTGGAACGAATCCACGAAACCGCATCAACCATTTCAGTGGAAAGAGCAGGGTAAGCTGCACTCTCATCCACAAACGCAACACCAACACCAAACACAGGCAGAGATCTATCTCGGCTCGCCTCGTAATTCTTCAAAGCCTTGATTTGCAACTCGTGCACGAACTGAAGAGCAACCCTAATACATCATATACTCTGCTACGTTTAGACAACAATCACCAAAAACAAACGAAGGAAGAAAGAGAGAGAGAGAGAGAGAGAGAGAGAGAGAGAGAGAGAGAGAGAGAGAGAGAGAGAGAGAGAGCTAAACCTGGAAGATGATCCGCCAGAGAAAGCAACAAGGACATTATCCGAAGGAGTGATCATGGCGTGTGAAGTAACAGCGAGACGGAACTTCCCAAAGACATTGTTCCTGAAACATTCGGCGCAGAATCTCCCGTCGTCCGAGCCACCGTCCCCAAATGTCATAGGCTCGTTGCATTTGCACTTGACGCAGACACTCTCCTTCACACCATCAGCTACTGCACTTTCCTCTATCTTTCTTCCATTTTCCTTCTCACGGTCATAGCAACCGGACTCACATCCAGAAGAATTACAAGCCATGTCGATTTCGCAAGCGGCTGAGATGGAAACACGGAAAAATTGAGATTAGTAATTAGAAAACACAAGAGTAGAGGCAATCATATCAAGCAGCAATGAGTTAAAGAACCAATTCTCGCCATTAACAAGCTTATTAGGAGATTGCTACTATTAGACTCAATCAGCATGTAATCGGAATTGCTAACTTTTGCTATAAAAAGACGTCTGAAGCGAAGATAATGAGAAGATAGAGATGTGGGCAGATTCAAAATCGAAACACCCGAAGAAACCCTAAATCCAACGAAACTTACGAAAAAGGAATCGAGGTTTATGCTTAGCGGTTGAGTACCAGTTTGAGATAGAAAGAGAGTCGTCGCGATGCTTCAGCAGCTCCAGTGTAGAAGACGATGGTGTAGGGGAACAATACTGTACAAAGAAAACCAAAAAAGACCTCAGTAAAGAGGAGGTCAAAAGCCCAAATTTATTTAAAAGGCCCAAATATACAATCCAAAACTGCATGCCGTTTCTTTCCTCCACCGGGACGATGTTCTGCGTTTGTGAAATGTTTGTCCCGGTATTGGAGGAAAAACGGCATGCAGTTTTGGATTGTATATTTGGGATTCTAGTCTCGTCATTGTCCAAGTAGAAGAAAGTTTTAAATAGCTAAGTTCATATAAGGGTGACAATGGTATTAAAGAAATGCAGATTGATGGATCATTGATTTGTGAATATTAATTATAGTTACGTAGATAAATCACTAAAAATCCAGTGCATTTAACTTCAGCGGTATTGAAAAAGAAGATGGTTTTGAGGACGGCGCAATATTAAGAATTTTAACAAAAATGAGCTTTAGGTCTTTAGCCACTATCCTAAGTCCTAACGAGACGAGTGGACAAAAAGAATGTAGCAATCACTGTCCAGAAGAATAGAATATCACAATTGAATTCTATTGGTTTATCCATCCCATGATCATATCATATGGAGATATTCAGTTCTCTCATTAAAAAGCATAAAGATGAAATAGTGAACTAATACAAAAGGGTTAAGGAAATCAGTAAGGGTGCATAGAATAAACACACTATGTTACGAAAAGGTTTTCTTTTGGAAAAGTGGGAGATATTATACACATTTTTAGAATGGAACGTTTGGTAGAAAACTTTGTGTCTGTAATTGAGATATTATCAGTAGTTTCTTTCATTTTTTATTCTCTACCTTTTCCTTTTTGTTTTTGTTTTTATGTGGTTTTGTGTAGATACATTAGCAATGCAAAATGATTGTGTCGAGGTCTCGTGGAGGACAAATTTGGTTACAACATTACTCTTTTCAAATTGGGCCAATGTACATAGAACATCGTTACTTTATAATACATACATATGATATATGCATGTAATGGAAGAAGGTAAAATAAATAACTCACGGAATGGTAAAGAATTCAATCTTGGTTAGGAGATCATGTGGTAATACGAATTATACAATTTATTTATAGTCATTGTAAATGTTGTAATCATCTTGTCTTTAACTTTTTCCTTTTAGTTTATAAGATGGACGTAGACTTTTACAAATATTTTCTTACAATCTTATCATCGTTGATGTTACTAAACAAAAAAATCACCGTTAACGTCAACATGTATATGATTACAATTAATTTTGATCCGAAATGGTTTTGATCAAATATTATCTTCGCAGTATTATTGAGATGATCTTAGTTAATAATTAAAAAAAAACAATAGGTTGGTTCAAATGATCATTTTACAACATGGAATATCAGTAAATCATAAAAAGTTGAAGACAGAATGAAAAGTATAACGACAAATGGTTGGTTCAACCGACTCAAATCTACTGCTTCAGTTATGTAGGATCTAAGATTTGAATATAAAAGTTAAAAAATATTTGAACTAATTAACTAATATCGGTGAAGACACTAAATGTATTAATTTACAATAAATTCTACTAGATCTTGAGGAATGCTAGAGCAAAGAATCTATAAGAAAAAAAAACAATAAATGACGAACATCCAGAGAGCTCAAATTCTTTCTTAAAAAGAAACAATACACATTCAAATCAACAGCTGGTTTGTTGTAGAACGAGTTGAAGAAGTGTTTTGTTTTTCTCAACCAAAGAGTCTTTATGATTAGTAATAAATGTTGAGGACAGTCCCATTAATAAAGGAAAACTTTCTTATAAATCATAAATGGATTGGCCAATGGCTACATCGTTGATGACTGGAAGCTCGAACAAACAGCTGGATTTTTAGAATTAAGAGGCTCTAATATCAAAGTAACGTATCTATATTTATGAATTTGTACAGACATTTGAAGACTAATATTGATAGATAAGTAATTTTCTAACTTACTGAGAATTCTTTGTAAAAACACTTTTGGAGTAAGCATACTCGAATATCAAGGTCATAGATAAAACTCTTTGTTTAAAATTATTAACTAGTAACCATACAAAAGGCGAATAAACTGGACACAAGCTTATCATGTAATCACGTAACTCCGTTTTCTAGTTATTTTTTTCTTCTCAATATAGTCATTTAAAAATCATGCTTCAGAACACATATACTCCCTTTGTGTAACGTGATAGATATATTTAATTAACATTAATTAAAGAACATTATAAATAATGTGTAAATATCGCTGAACATCTAAACATGTGAAAGTACATCTCTTTTTTTTTTCCCGTGTGTCAAACTACCAACGTGAAAACCACATCTATACGAAGGTAAGATCACGTATGTGTGTATGTCTTTGTTTTTGACTAGTTTTGTGTAACCTTGTATTTTAATTTATCTTGCAATCCAATACCGCGTTACGAGATCTTTGGAACCACTCACATGTTCCTTTCTTATCCTTATAACAAGTAACAACAATGAAATCCTGCTTGTCGTTGATTGGTTTCGTTATTAATCTAACTAAGAAAAAAAAAGAAAAGTGGTCGCACGATGGAGATTTTAAGTCTTCTTGAGAAAAAAGAAAGTGTAAGAATAAAATCATAACTCGACAAATCACTGTCGACATAACTCGACAAATCACTAGAATCCCAAAGGAGAACTTTCCGAACATTGCTAATTTGCAAATTGCTTCTTCTTTAAATGACTAAAATGCCCCAACATAATTACAACTATCTAGAAATTCCGAAACTACCCTTCACTCTTCTATCGTACTCAACTCCGCCGCGTAACATTTCCTCCTCCGGCTACTACTACTACTACCATCACCACTTCCACCGTTTCTACCTTTCCTTCTCCCGCCGCCAAAACCCACCGTATCATCACCGGAATCACCTCTCATTCTAAACTTATCAACGACAATAGGATCGATACTTTTCCGGCGAGAACTTCCTCCTCCTCCTCCGCTTCGCATGAGCGCAGAGCTGGCTTTAACGGCCAATGCAGCCATCTCCTCCGCTTTAAGTGGCTGACGAAGCCAAGAAAGAGGAAGAGCAAAGTATATCTGACCGAGCTGAAGCTCTTCGTCGGCGCTAATGGCGGAAACGGCGTCGTCGAAGTCCATATCGTCTGAGTTACAGATAAAGCACATGGGATTCTTCTGCAGAACGTATCCGACTTTCACGGGATTCGTAAACTCCATCATCCTCCCGTCTTGCAAGATCAGCTTCGCCGTCGCCACTTGAGTCGACTCGCTCGAACTGCATATACCCATTTTATGTATGTCTGTATATATATATATATATTCAGTGCTAATGATGATTCTTGATAACTCTCTGAGTTGACTCGTGAGTCGTGACTCGGTTTCCGGTGAAAGAGGTTATTAGAGGGATTGTTATGCTGAAATAATAATAATGTGGAGGAGAAAGCGAAGAGTTGTGTATAAATAGAGAGAGTTTGTGACTTTTGTGTTACGAAAATTGGATGCCACGTAGGATTTTGTCGTTATGTAAGAGTGATGACAGGCTGTATAAGTGGTGGGGACGATGACAGCTTTGTGGGTGTTTAGATATTTTTACCCTTTATTATTATCTATAATTACCATGTCAGGGACTGACCTTAATTATTATGATTTCCTCCTTTCTCTCTTCTTCGTTCACGTTTCAAACTTAAATGGGACTGTTTTCGCGCGTATATAAAAATTGTAGTAACATTTTTTTTTTAACACTTCGTAGAGTACCAACACTACACTATGATCTAAATGATCTCTAAATACTTGAAAGAAAGCTAAAACCTACATCAAAACTCACAAGACATGAAACTCACCCACACTAGTAGAGTATTACAATATCTGCATTAATTTGATATATGAGTGTTTCGTGAATATGATAACACACTTGTTTTGTGAATATTATGAGTGTATTGTGAACAAATAAATTATCAGTTTACCGAATTGATATAATGATCGTGGGGTAGAGCGGTGGGTTTAAGAATTTAAGTTGAAAGATCTAAAATTATATCTCCGATATAAAACAACATCTAATCACAATAGGGTCCATTTTCATTGCTGCTCTTTATGACTAGGTTACAAATTTAAATCTACATTGATTCCCATTTTTGTATATGAATAATTATGAACTTTCTTGTCACTTTTAATTCTATGATCTTGATTGTCCAAGAAGCTGTCGGATCCTTTAATGTAGTTTAAATTCATCTAGATATATAACGTGTGTTTATTTTCTCTGAATATATACTATTTTTTTAGTATTACTGTATATATATATATTATTTTATCTTTACTTGTTATTTCAATATTTACGCTTCATTTATGATTTTATTGGTGATATGTTTTTAAACAATGCTGTTTAACTTGCAATCTTGCAGAGATCATAATCTATTAATGACTTGTAATAACTGATAAATTGTGGTAGGTAAATAATAAAATATATCGAAGAAACAATGAATTTAATAGCTAAAAAAGACGTGAAGCTAAGAACAGTAAAATATGTTGCATGTGACTATGAACGGCTCATACCAGTCGGTCCACTAGTCATGGCGATTTACAATGGATTCCAACTGTTTGATCAAAATGCTTGTTTCAACTATTTTGTTTTCTTAGTATACAAGCAAATGG